CATGCCTATATTTCTATTTCAGGATTTTAATCTTGTTGTTTAACAAAATTTATTTGATTTACTGTTGATAACAGAAATCATTTGGAGGTAACAACATTGTTAGAAATTTTGTTTTAGAATTTTAATTTTTAATTAAATTTTATTGTTTAACAGAAACAAATGGTAAAATAAATTGAATTAACTTTAAATTTATTGTTGGAATATTTACAAAATTTTGGTTATGTGTTTTAAACAAAACAATGGTAACCCCACTGCTTCACCTAACTCGTGATTTGAAATGTTGATTCATATTTAGACTTTGAATAAAATTCAAAGATGTTCGTTGTTGTGAGCCACAACGAGAAGCATGTGAAATTCATGGATAGAATGTCAAGACATAGCGAAATAAGATGTTATATTTAATCATGTTGAATATGGTCAAATATATGATAATGCTCCTATTCATAGAGAGGATGAGATAGACATTGTTGTCATTAAAGTTTGAAACTATTCAAAATTTCTATGTCGGAATTACATTTTGAATGGATTGTCAGATACACCATATCACCATATTATGAATGACATTTGGCCATGTTATGAGTTGTCACAGAACATGTGGAAGAATCTATTTTATTAGCAAATTACCTTTAAATAAGGTAACTCACAAGAAAATAGGCGAGACACCATATGAGTTATGGAAATGTAGTAAACTTTCCTACAACTACATCAAAGTGTGAGGGTGCCTTGTATAAGTATAATGGTAAGTCGAGACACATACATCATCAACATAATATCATTAAACAATTGATCTCAACTAATATCAAATGATAACATTGTGGATCCGCTAAACAATGATTTGAATCAAGATCAATTTGATAAACATTGAAATAAATGTGACTAAAGCTCATTAATATTTAAGGCGTTATGTGAAGGAAAACCCAACCTAGTTGAGTAGAGATCCCAAGATCTAGGTTTAATGGGACAACCTACTTGCATAGACCTTGTGAGGTCACTGTAGGGGTCCTTATCCCAAGTCCATTCCTATGATGAAAACATTGACTAAAATGTGGAAAAGGTTAAGCAATGCTTTTAATGACCACTATGTGTTTCAGTGAGCCGAACAACATAAGTCAACTATGTGAGAGTGAAGTGGGACTGATTCAAAGAGACTATTGGAGTGTAGTTCACTAAACTATTGCAGAACCAGGAGATGTCCATGGTTATATGAACATAATCATGAGAACCAAATTCTTGTCAGTGAAATATTTGTGTGAGGTATGTCATCGCTTACACCAACGACAGGATAATTCAAGGACAACACGCCTACTGGACAGCCAGTAAGGTAAACATATTTTCACAAGGGAAGGTTCGAAGGGGGGTGCCTACCTATCCTATGCAAATATCAAACGTAAAATATATCACCATATCGAGTCAATGTTTGAAATCATCAATTTCATTTATGTGGGGGATTGTTGAAAAAAATAATTATTTAATTGAATAAAAAATTAATACTATTTATAATAAGTCATGTCACTTGGTGAATAGACTTATTATAATAAGTCATGTCACTTGGTGAATGAACTTTTTTTTGTTAGTTTAAAGTTGCATCCATTCAATTATACCTATTAGCTTTTCAACAAATTATTTTCATGAAATGTTTTAACTATTCATCAAAAGATCCTAACCTTTTGATTCATATCCCCACACCTATATATAGGTTAGATGAGGCACAATCTTAGACACAACTTTGAGATACAATTCACGAAACTGAATTAGGAAATCACTTATAAATTTCCTTCTAATTTTTTCTTTTCGGTGATAGAGAACGGCAAGACTGTGTTCGACTTATCACTAAGGTTGTGCTTACTATTGTGATCATTGTTTTGTTGTATTCTGGGAGACCGACGACCAACGACCAACGTTACTCAAAGCACTTAGGAGAGAACGAATTTTTCTTAAGGAAACTGTTCCTACAAACCTCAACAAAAATCCTTCTTTGGTGTATCTTACTCCTGATCTGTGTCTACATACGAGTAAACCAATCACATTCCTCTATTTTAATTCTTTATTTATTTACTTCGTTTGATTATATAATAATCATATTTATTTATTATTATTATCTCGAATTAACATATTGTGTAACAATCTTAATAACATATTTTGTAACAAGTATATTGTCAAACTATGCATGCTTTTTGTGTTTACTTGCTGGTATTCGTCTTAGAAGAAAAACAACAAACTAGGTATATGTAGAGATTCCTAATATGAGGCAGGAATTATGGGTGTCAAAAAAGATCGGATCATATCCGATCTGGTGATTCGATCTGAAAATTCGAATATCAATTCGTTTTTTGATTTTCGGATAATGCAAATAGGATATCCGGAAAAAAAAATTGAATAATCGGATCGGATATGGATTTGATAAATTTCAATTTCGGATTATTCGAAAATCCGAAAAAATTGGGCTTTTAGATTTTAGATACCGTTTGGCCCAATAAAAGAGTAACTCACTAACTCATTAATGCTCTAACCCAATAAAAATTAGGATATTTAATTATTTATTATGTGGGAGTAATTAAATATATATAGTAGATGCATCAAATAAGTTACATTAAATCACAAAATATAAAACATAAAATTAATTTTTTTATCAAATAATATTTTATAACCAGATCCGGATATTCGATTCGAAAATTTGGATATCTGTTTTTTTATCGGATGCGGATCACTATTTTAGATATCTAAAATTTTTGGATATCCAATTTTTTCGGACCAGATAAGAATCACTATTTTAGGTATCCAAAATTTTTTGGATATTTGAATATTTGGATCATATCGAATCAGATCCGATATTCAAGTTTGCACACCCCTGGTAGAAATGAAACTGAGTTGGATATCTGTCATTTTTAATAGTTTAGGTTTGAATTAATAAATATCTCTAAAATCTGAATTTTGATTTTACTCGTAAATTATTGAGTATTATTACCAAATTTAAATCTGAATTAAATATTATTATTTTTTAGATATTTGAATTAATAAAATTTTAATTTTTAAAATTATTTAAATATGTACAAATTTAAATTTGCTAAAATTTAAATTGTTAACGTTCGAATTTATTTAAAAATAAAATTAAAATTTATTTACTTCCATTTGCAATCCTAACCACATAAATAATGCAATAATGCAGATTTAGATAATAAATATCTACGAATGTTTACAGGTAACAAATAATAATTTTACTATTTAAATTTGAGAAAATTTACAATGGATATTAATTTTATAGGATAAAATTCTTAAATAGATATTAAACTATATCATTTTATTAAAATTGGAAAACATTAAGCATACATCTTCAAAAACTATCCAAATTTTAACAATTTTGGCTGTTGCTTTAACAATACTGTGATGGTGAGTTTTTGCTTGGCCGCAAAGGTTATAGAAGTGGATTTGCCGAAACATGAACATATCGGCTCGTGGAAAGATGGCGATGCCAAAAGTTGGTATCCAAAAGAGAGCAATGTGAACAACAACCATTACATTCCTAGGGAGGAATTTAACAACTACCCTGGTGGCGATGGATCAGATAGAAGTGGGTAAATTATTGGGATGATCAATAATATATATAGGAATAAACCGGTTATGCTTAATGTTTAATGTGGTTTTTCTACATTTAAATATATTTATAATATAATTAGTTTTTGTACGTGTAGCTTGTATTCTAGTTTTAGTTGTATCGTATATGTGTGGTTATTATTATATTTGTAGGATATGCATGTAATTGCATGAACGAATGGCTGCCTGCTTTGCCACGAGATGTCAAACCATTGATATCAATGCTTTGGGTTAGACTGTTTTCTCACGTCCATGGGTTAGACTGTTTTCTCACGTCCATGAGCTGATAATATATTAAATTTAATCTTTACCTTAGTGGTTAAAGGGATTATTATTATTATCCTTAGAGGTCCAAGATTAGAGAGCCAGTGATTGAAAGGGTGTTTGAGTTTTCATTACCTAAATGTTTTGGAATCTTATTTTTCTGTCTACTTTTTGGTTCAGGGAGTGATGCAATACTTCAATTTACCCTTGATCAGGAAGCTTGTCTGATTGTGCTATCCTAACAAGTTTTGTGGAACCACATTTTCTGTTGTAATTTCCTTCATTTACATGAATGTTCAATCTATTTACCAATCTCAGTTTATTGGTTTCTCTTTGGTATATACAAGGGTCGAAGGGTTTTAATTTTCATTTCTATGAGTCCAAGGCTGATGATTGTACTGAACATGGCCTCTATATGATTAGGAATCCAGTCTAATACAAATTCGGAAGGTGTAAATTCCACACTTTTGCCTTATATGGAATTCTTTATAATTTGGGATTGCTATTTTAGGGTGAATACATTTGGAATAGATTTACAAAGTTTTGGTATTACTTTTGCTTCACTTCAGCTGGGAGGGTTGCAAGGTTACATTTGTTATTTTGTGTCCACTTCTTTCTGTGTGTGAGGAAGAACCAACATCAATGTCGTTGCATTTCGATTTTCCTGCACGAAATGCGAACATTATTCTTCTACTTCTTTCTTTTCGCACCGATAGCTAGTTTTAACTTAAAACGTTTTTGTACTAGTGCAGGTTGATTGCAAAGTACAGGCCATCAGTGCCTGTGATATCTGTTGTCATCAACTGTGCTGGACTTTCTCTTGTGCTTTTGAGGTATGCTACTGGTGATATTTTTCATGTTCCCTATGTGAATGAGTTTGTTTCATAGATGTGAGAAATTTGAATTACATTCGGTATGAATAATCCGGATAAATAAAAACATGATGAACAATCCGGAAACAGTTAGTGTGGAAGGCATAGTTTCTTTAAATGAAATTCCAGTAGTCTGTTCTCTTTTATCGTCTTCCTTTTCAATTAGTAGATTATTTGTAGTGAATAATCCTTCATTCTAGTATAGATGTTTATTCGATTGAAAGCTCGAAATTAGTCTCTTCATCATTCGTTTCTTTTCTTGAAGCCTTGCAGGCAAGGCAATCCCTGTTTGTTAGAGGTCTATTCCCCATGCTGCCTGACCCTAGACATCATGTGTGGTTTATTTTATCCCTGTGTTTTACTAGTTCAGAATCTGGTCTTCCAATATTGTGATATACCGATGCTTGTGTCATCCATTAGCATAATATTGCGATGTAACGCTTTTTCTGCTGTACTTGGGGTTTTGCAGGCATATTCAAAAAGTGGCACAAATGAACCGGTCTTGAAGGATGCTTTAGATCGTGGAAAGGCCGTAGGTGTTATAAAGCCGCATGACCTTGTCGTCGTTTGCCAAAAAGCTCTAGGATGCATATGTTGTAAAGATCATTGAACTTGAAGATAAAAATTGGGAAACATGAAGCTTACATCCTCAAAAACTATCCAAATTTTAACTACTTTGGCTCTTGCTTTAACAATACTGATGATGGTGAGTTCCTGCTTGGCCGCAAAGGTTATAGAAGTGGATTTTCCGAAACATTAACACATCGGCTCATGGAAAGATGGCGATGCCAAAAGTTGGTATCCAAAAAGAGAGAGCAATGTGAACAACCACCATAACATTCCTAGGGAGGACTTTAACAACTTCCCTGGTAGCGATGGATCAGATAGAAGTGGTTAACGATAATATATATATAAACCGGTTATGCTTAATGTTTAATGTGGTTTTTCTACATTTAAATATATTTATAATATGATTAGTTTTTGTACGTGTAGCTTGTATTCTTGTTTTAGTTGCATCGTATATGTGTGGTTATTATTATATGTGTAGGATATGTTGGAAAACGGTTGAATTTATTGATGGATTTAATATTTAAATTGAATTTATATTCCTTTTCAAATATTGTAAATTAAGAGATATTATTTTATTTGATTATTAGTAGGATAATTACTCTTTTAAATAAGTCAAATTAATAGTTATATATATTATCTATTTAAATTTGAATATTAAAAGATAATTATATACTTTGAATATTTCAAATTAAAATAATATCTATTTAAATTTGAATAGTAAAAGGAGTTTAAATCTTTCGAATATTTCAAATTAAAAGATAATATTATCTGTTTAGAATTGAATATTCAAATATATTTAGTTGGACTAAATCTTTCCTAAAAATACCCTATAAATATAGAGCTATTCTTCCATGTTTTACACATCTCTCCTGTCGTCTTAACGGATTTGCTAAAATCTCATAGTGGGCAAATCTGTTTAACCGAAATTATCTTGAAAGTAACATTGGTTACTGATTTTGTTTCAGAACATTGATTATATCTGATAATAAAAGAAAATATAAACGAGAAATAATTTTTTGTTTATTAGAATTAATACTAATTTCAAATCTGTTTCTTTTAGAGAAAAGAAAATGGAGACATGAAGCTCCATCGGTTTACCCAACTTGGATGTTAAAATGGTAGTACCGGTTCAGAATCCAAATATGAATGTGGGTCAACCAGTAGTGGCAGTTAACTACAATGAAAAGCTGGCAAAATTCACCGGAGAGAATTATCTAGATGTGGCAACAGAAAATGCTTTTCTATCTGACCACGATGAATCTCTCTAAATTCTTGAAGGAAGATCCTCCTATTTTTATAGAGGGAGAAAGAAAAGGAGAGGTAGACAATATTACCACCTTTAATATTGTTGAGGCTTGGAAGCATACTAATTATATGTGCAGAAACATATTTTTTAATAGAGTACAAGATTCATAGTATTCGATATATGTTGGTTATGGAACATCTAAGTGGTTGTGAGAGACATTTGACCATAAATATAAAGTTGAAGATGCTAGATCTAAAAAGTTTTTAGTTGCCAAGTTCTTGAATTTTACTATGGTTGACTCTAAACAAGTAGAGGAGCTCCAACTGATTGTTAGTGGAATTCTTTCTAAAAGAATTATCATAGGCAAATCCTTTCACGAAGTCGCTTTTATTGAAAAATTACCTCCTTGATGGAGTGACTTCAAGAATTACCTGAAGCACAAAAAGAAGGAAATTGTAATACCCAAAATTTAGATAGTGACCAAAATGAAAATTTTTAAAGTTTGGTTATAAAAGTATAAACTTTGGAAAAGTTTAGGGACCAAAATGGAAAATTGAAAAGTTACATTTTGGCAACGTAAAAAATAGTTTATTTCAAGAATAATGCTTCTGTGGGAATCAGAATTTTAATCTGAGATTTGTAATAAAAGTTATAGAGCAAGGAAGTTGAGGAAAATTTCGGTAAATCAGATCGAATATAAAATTCAGGAAAATCTGAAGGATGATACCTTAGACCAAGAATATTATTTTCACATTTTTAAATGTTGAAAAATAATATAAAATTTTAGATTTGAGGGTTTGATTCCATGTTGATTTTGGACCATTGGATTAAAGTGGCAGGATTGTGATTTTTGGAAAAATGCAAGGGCAAATCGATAAAGTAAGATTTTATTTGTTCATAATTGACTTATGGAAGATGATAAGGGTTAGGTATCTTGGTTTGCATAAGCTTAAGAAAAGATTAAGGTTGAATAAAGTTAAGAGATGAGTGAATTAAAGATGAATTTGTAAATTGGGGTTTTGAGTGAATTGATGAGAAATGATTAGTAAATGGATTTTGAAGCTATATTTGACTTTTCATAAGTTAGAATAAGAAGATTAAGGTGTTGGAAAATGATTTGGGATATGTTGATTAATTGGTGTGATTTTTAGTTTTAAGTGAGTTAGTGGGATTTTGGATTGTTTAAAAGTATTAAAGTGATATAAGCTAGTTTTAATAAGTGTAGTTGAGTTTAAAGGCATGAAAGAAGTTAAAAATGGGAGATTTAAGTAAGTTTTGTAATTTTTCTAGTTGAAATGGGTAATTTATAGGCAAGGGTATCGGTATTGGATGAACAGTACTGATATTTCAAAGTAAAAATAGGTGAAATATTGGTTTGAGTATCGATACCGTAAGGTAAAATTGTATGAATCATTAGAATAATATTGATACCGAATGAGTAGCATCGATACTAAGGGCATCGATACTAATGGACAAGTATCGGTACCATTTTTAAAGACGAATTCCATAATATAGATTGGGTATCGATATTGAAGTACATTATCGATACCATAGTGAGGAATATCGATACTGGGCTTAGTGTATCGATACTATACATAATGAATTTTTGAATTAGGTGTTTCGTTTAGTTATTGATAATTGATTAATAGAAATGCGAACTTCGCTATTCATCTCAATCGTATTAGTGTGTATAGATTTTGAATGAAGACAAATTCCAGACGATTCGAAGTTATAAGATCGACCAAGAGTGATATGGATTTTTCTTTGGCTAAGTGAGGCAAAACGGTGAGTGCATACTACTATAATATATGATTATATAGAAAGAAGACTTGTGACGAGTCTATTTCCAATACTTTGAATAACACATTATTTTTAAAAGTTTATTAAATGATATGATTACATGTTTACATGAATACAAACATAGTTTTGATTTTGTTACGACGAGTACATACACTGTTTATATTTCATACTATGTGTTATTGATCTATGTGATTATATGAATATGTGATATAAGCTATGAGAAATGGTATAAATGGAGAATCCCAAAAGTATGTGATATGAGAGCTAAAGGTATAATTGACATGCCAAGAGTCGAAGGTTCTACGCGGTCCTTCGGGACAATTCTATGTGGTCCTTTGGGACATTTCTACGTGGTCCTTCGGGACATTTGTACGTGGTCCTTCGGGACATTTCTATGTGGTCCTTTGGGACATTTCTACGTGGCACTTTGGTACATAATCTACGCGACACTTTGGTGCAATTCTATGAGGTAGTTTCTACTGCAACCCAGTGCACAATCTAAACATACTCATATATCTTGAGTTCTATGTAATATACCATGGGCTATTAAAAGAAATGACATGAATGAACAATGCATGATAATATATGTTTTTGTTTTATAAATTGTTCTATGGATTCCTTATTCTATGAATTTTATAAAAGTTAAGAATAATATTAAATGTTTTAATGTTTTATTTATGCCTCACTAAGTCAAAGACTTAACGTGTGGGTTTTTTCACACGTAGGTAATAAACATTATGTTCTTTTGTTACATTGAATTTTGTTGGCATGTAATTAAATATTTAAATCACATATGTTCTTATCAGTTTTTGTAAACTTACTTTATTGTATTTATGTAAATATTAAGTATTTATTTTCGATTTGAGTTGAGTTTTTCATAATTACTTTAATTTAAGGGTTCCACCATTTAAAATACAAATAAAAGTTTTTAAAATTTTAACTATTTTTAAAAGTTAAAGATTTGAAAAGTTAATGTGACACATCGGATTCGTATTCAAGTCGAATACGAATTGAGAGTGTTACAAATTTAACTTCCTTTTTATTTTTCTCAGGTTCGATTTTGTATCGTTATTTTGTATTACATGATATGCATGTAATTGCATGAATGAATGGCTGCCTGCTTTGCCACGATCTGTCAAATCGTTGATATCAATGCTTTGGGTTAGACTGCTTTCTCGCGTCCATAGGCTGACAATATATTAATTTTAATCATTTTCCTCAATAAAACTTTGGTTATGAACGAACCAAACTATCTAAGTGTTTAAAGATATTGCTAATATCCTTAGAGGTCCAAAATTCGAGCACCATAAACTACAAGAGCATTTGAGTTTTTATTTTCAAATGGTTTACGTCTTTGAGCAGACACTACCTTATAATCACCTAAGATCAAAAAAAAGTATGTGTGTATTGTCAACTACCCAAATATGATTTTTCATTTGGGTAAACTACGCCCATGATTACCTATTTATGGGTGAAATTTATTTTGACCATTGATCTTTTAATTGTATTAATCAAATTATCTAACTACTTAAATAATGTCAATCAAGTCATCTACCATTAATATTTATCAGAGGGGCTGATGTAACATACAATAAAATATGTATAATTATGCATTTGGTCCTCATTATTTATATATTCTATCAATTTGGTCATAATTTTAATTTAATTCAAAAAAATTAAATCTTCTAATCAATTAATGACATGTGTCAATAGTCTAATAATATATATTTAATTAGAGTTCAGTTTAAAAATATAAAAATCTTAAACTAATTTTCAATTTAAATATTATATTGATTATATTAAAAGAATATATATATATATATATATATATATATATATATATATATTAAAATATTATTATACTGGAGTGTATCTTCACCTGTCTTAGATTGCGACGTTTCATTTTTTCCTAACAAATTTTAACCCCATGTTATAATCTTCTTCTTTTCTTGTCATATTTCTTAATTATGTGCTTTTAAGTTGGAGTGATCTTG